TTTCCTCTGTGTCCAGCTTTAGGCATCATTACCATTGAACTTTTGCCAATTAAAATTTCACCTTAGACTTTTTTTTGCAGTTAAGAAAACCTGTCTACCTGGTATTCACAGTGTACAATACGTTTGCCTTCCAAGGAGTGGCTCGCTACTTGAATATTTTCAGCGAACCGTCGGGAAAGCCAACAGCTCAAATTGAGTGGATCTACAAAATGGATTTGCCTCATTTGAATGTCAGGTAAGATATACCGGGTGTTTCAAATTCAACCCTCACCATTGAGATCTCGGAAACGGTAGGAGATACGAAGACGTCGAAATGCCGCTTAGAAAGTTCGAAATTCAAAATACTTCCTGAGAGAGACGGAAAAAACCTTATTTTCTCTAAATCGTTGAAATTTTCTCCTGAATTTGTTTCTGGTGGGATCTTAAAATAAATTACACGTTAACATGATTGGGAGGTATATAAAACTCTTAGGAATAAATGTGTATCTGTAATTAGAGAAGAAAAAAGGAAATTCTACGATAAACAAATCGATAATAACAAGTGCGACAGTGTAAAGATGTGGAAGACTTTGAAAAGACTGATCAATTCGAAGCCGCATGATTGTGTAAATCAAGTTCAATTCTAAAACGGTACCGAAACAAATTCTTTGGTGATTGCAAACAAACTAAATGAATATTTTGTGGAAAGTATTGTTGATATTGTGGGTACTGCCAATGCTGCACCTGACTATATGCAAATCAGTTTCCTAGGGGAAATGTTGCATACACTTTCAAAATTTCACAGCGTATCATTGAATTATCTAAGAAAAAGTAAACAGTTTAAAATCAAATAACAACTGTGCCGAAATCACTACTAAAAACGTGCTGAAAAACTGTTTCGAAATTTTGGGATATCCTGTATTAAATTAGATCAATTGTTCACTGAGAAGCAGTTCTTTTCCTGAAAATTTGAATGCTCTACAATAACACCAGTTCCCAAAATTCTAAAAGATGCAGCGATATGAGACCAGTAAATGTGTTACCAGACATTGAAAAATTATTAGAGTCCATAGTGCATGACCAATTAATGCAATTTATAGAAGAAAACAAAATTTAGTGGAAGCGCAAGCAGGCTTTCGAAAAAATATTCCACAGAAACAGCTTTCCAGTGGTAACTGAGAATTGGAGAAGAGCCATAGACTCAGAAGAAGTTGTCATAGCAGTATTTTTGGATTTGAAGAGGGCATTTGAAACGATTGATAGAGATATTTTGTTAGATAAATTGAAGGCATATGGTATAACAGGAAGTGTTTTTAGATTGGTTTAGAAATTATTTGTCTAAAAGGATGCAAGTTACAAATATTAATGACACTATTTCATCAAAAATTGAAATACGTTGGGTGTTCCACAGGGCAGTATCCTGGGACCACTTCTTTTTATTTTATACATAAATGATTTACCTGCCATAGTCAAAAAATGCAAAATTCAGATTCTCGCCGATGACACTATGATTTATATAAGTACTAAAAATATTCAGTCTGTATCTCTATATAAATGAAGACTTGAAGCTTGTCTCAAAATGGTTAGCATCTAACAGACTAAAATTAAATGCAAGTAAACGAAAGCCTTGTTAATCGGAAAAAAACAATGTACAAATGTTCAACTGAATATTGATGGTGAATATATTGAATTCGTAGAAAATTTAAATACCTGGGGTTTTTGTTGACTCTCGATTAATGTTTGATATTCATTATGAAAAGTTATAAAAAAGATTAGTAGTAAAGTGGGATATTTATCGAGAGTTTCTGGATGTCTGAGTTCATATAGCAGAAAAATTATCTATAATACCCATCATTCTTCCAAATTGCTTGTACTGTTCGACTATTCTATATTTAGCAATAATCCATTTTGAAAGACTGCAAATTTTACAAAATAAGTGCATTAGAATAATACTAAATAAAGATAAATATACTCCAATTAGGCAAATGCTTAGCAAATTAAAATGGCTCAATGTAAAATTTTTTATCAAATATCTTGTAATGATATTCATTTATAAAGCAAAAAATAATATATTTCCATCAAGTCTAACTAATTTAACATCATCAAATGTCGACCATCATTTACATAATACCAGAAATAAAGATGGCTTCCATTTAATGACCAAAAGTATAACATATGCTACAAATCTGTATTCCATCAAGGGTTGATTGAATATAATAAATTATACTCGGAGATAAAAAACCAGAAACTTTGACAAAATTTAAGTAAAATTGAGAAATCACTTGTTAAATCTACAATTATAGGTTGCCCAGCATTTACACCATACGCCATAATATGGCTTGAATTTACTAGTTCTAAGTTGTTTACAATTATTCTTTTATGTAGCCAAATGAGCTAAATAAATCTTTCTACTACTACTACTACTACTACTACAACATGGTCACTTTTTCTCTTCGACAAGATGGCATAATTAGAATTTTCAATATGTCGTTTCGTCTCTGCCCTCCAGCATCAACTTTATTTTTCTTAACACGTTCACTGCGAAAGACGCTGATCCGCGTCCGACCGATGTTTAACGAAAGGCGGCGGGCGCGGATCCGCGCTTCTGGCTGATATAAACTCACAAGACTGTGGTGTTGTCAGTTTGTACCGCACTCGCTTTCTGTTGGTCACCTACATATTGAACATCTTTTTGGACTACTTTACGCTTAGGATCAAGTTTCGTTTATTTTTACATGCGCAATGGCGGATGATGTGGAAGCAGGTTGTTCACGTCCAAAATGAGTGACGTAATAAAGGGCTTACAGAAAAAGAACTGTATGATATTCTTGCCAATTCGGGGAGTGAAATCGAGAATCTAAGTGACTCAGACAATTATGTTCCCAGTTCAGATGAAGTGAGCAGTCTGATGGAAATATGTCTGAAACGAGTGATGATTTTTCCAGCCCACAGAAAAATCTTTAATAGGGTTTCAAGACATGTTTCGTGTTACTGCACGAAAAAAAACGAGATAGAAGAAGAAAATGTATATATGAAATAGTTTTCAATTACACAACGCACATCCAATAGGCTTACGACGCGAATCCGCGCTTCGCTTGTGCAGCGCCTAAAATCGTTTAGCCGCTACCGCGCGCGCGGCGGCGCGAGGCAGGTCGCAGCGAACGTGTTAAGGACGCATATTAAACGTGTGTACAAAATCTCAGCTTAATTACTTACTGCTTTGTCCCACACATACTAACATCTTGTTAAATAAAAGCTTGTAAAAGTGGAATATTTGAAGGAAGAAACATTGGACCTCTTTTCACAGGCATCTAAGGAATCCTTACAACGATAGCAAGCCAATCTTCGATGGCCTGGATGGCCAAGTGATCAAAGAAGACGTAGCAGAGGAGCTTATGCGAATTTATCAAGGTGCAGTGCAATCAGTGGCAACACTACCCAATTCTAGCAGATGCTAATTTTTATATGCTACACAGACTGCGCTTGTGGTATACCAAAATAGATACGTACAATATAACCGATTTTTTAACACATATGAAATATTTGCTGCACTTTTTTATTCTTCCTATGATTTTCTTTTTACTGGCTGATACAAGATAATGACACTCGGTGGGAATTGTTCAAAAAGTGAAGGTAATAAAAATGGCAAATGTGAAAAAGGAAGGATTAATGGAGAAGACATTGATTTTAAATTGCATAATTGGATTCTTAAAATTTACCATTGAATAACAGTGACATCCATATAATTTCGTACTTCCAAATATTTCCATTAACAGAAGAAAAATTCCGCCCAGACTTTTTAAGAAACTGCATTCGTTTTTGACGGAGGCATTCTCAAAGATATTTGATCACCTTGTATAGCAAGATGTTTCAAAGTTTTAGATATACCTCAAATTATATTTTCTGATATACAAAATTGAAGATATTATAGTAATACATAGCATTTTTATCAATCAGTTTTTACTACATTTCATGGAATTTCAGAGATTAAATCGTCTGGATCCCTGGCTTTTTTAGAAACATCATTTAGCTTTTTAAATGTATGAATATGATTTTTTGTCTGATAGACCCTTCCCTCACAGGGACTCCAGAAATATATTGCAGTTACCTCACGTGCCATGTCAACATTGTTAAATTACTGGACTGTTTTCAGAAAGGAATAAAAATAACGGTTCCCTATCACCTACTCATGTGTATGTACAAGAGCGAGTAGCATTTGCGTTAACAATCGACGTTGTTCAATTCCTTTAGAGAAATAACCCTCGCACAGTTGCTAAGTTTCTTTACTTATTTTGTATCACATTATGAGGTAACGGCCAAAAACTACAGTTTAATTTGGCTACGGATGCTTGCGACGTCGCCATGGCCTTTGGAGTCTCGGTGAGGGAGAGTTTTTAATGAATGCCTAGAAATATTGTTACTAATAGATAATGAATTTTTTTGGTATACTCGCAACACAGTTTTTATTGTGAACTGTTTTTTAGTGAGAAATATT